TAGAGTTAGAGAGCAGAGGAGTGTACTAGTGTCATAGGCACAGGCAAGACAACAGGAAGACTTTGTGTCACTGCAGGTAAGCAGGCCATCTAGAAAAATTGTTGATGTTTTACAGCTCGGTCAGCAATGTTACCACAAAGTGCCCTGATTTTGTTGGATCTCAGAAACTAAGCAAGGCTGGGCCTGGTCAGTACAGGGACCAGAGACCTCGGAGTAAGAGGAAAACCAGATTGCTGCTGTAAGAGGTGGTTTGGGTTCAGAATGTCCAAACCAGTGACTTCAGTAGGGTGACCAGAGACACTCTTCTGTAGGAGGTGTCATCCTTTGCACAAGATTATACATTTGAAGTTCTGATGTCTAGGTTATAGCACTTTTTTGAAAGAGTAGGGGTGTCACAACACATGTACACAATCCATTCTCCCTAAACGTGCTCCCTAATTCAGTTTGTGAAGCAGTTTCTCACTGATCTGCTGTGCATTGGGGCTTCTGGTGAGTAATGGCTGCACAATTCTCACAATCCCCACTCAGCCCTGGTCACAGAGCACTTCCCACATGGGATACTGATACTCCAGGGACAGCAGTATCACTAGCTGATATATTGTTCAATCTCCAGTCTTCAGATGCACGGTTTCATCTGAAGACTGGAGGTCTCATCTTGTTCAATCTGCACGGTTTCATCTGAAGACTGGAGATCTCAGTTTCTTTAGTCTGATCTGTTTCATCTGAAGACTGGAGATTTCAGTTTCTTTAGTCTGATCTGTTTCATCTGAAGACTGGAGATTTCAGTTTCTTTGGTCTGATCTGTTTCATGTGAAGACTGGAGATTTCAGTTTATTTGGTCTGATCTGTTTCATGTGAAGACTGGAGATTTCAGTTTATCTGGTCTGATCTGTTTCATGTGAAGACTGGAGATTTCATCCCTTTTCAGCCCTGAATAAATGCTTGCTGGAAACTCCTTTGGCAGCATTAAAAGTTGTGAGTCTTACCAGAAGATTTTCTGTCAGATTCAAGAATTTGACTCGGCCACTGAAGGAGGTTCCCTTAATTCGTTGATGTGCCTTTTTAAGAGATCCTTTCCAATTAAGGAATATTTGATCTGTATTCCACGCCCTTATAGGTCCTACTCTTTTTTTTGGTAGGACATTGGGAACATTGGCATTATTACAACTCATTAAAAATGAGAAAAATACATACAGAAAATAATTTCTAATGGGATTTCTCTGGAGGCGCTGAAATGAATACATCACCCCTGCCAAGTTAATCCGCGTCGGTAATACAGACGCCTTCCAGTAGGTGGCAGCCGGTCGCAGTGCGTCCGGTGCTGAGGCGGTTTGTGATTGGCCGTTGGCTTTCGGCAGGGAGGCGGGACTTCACTTTTGAACCGGCTGGTGGGTGGTCGTTTGGTTTGCGCGTTGTTTGGATTTGAAGTGGGGACGTTTTAAATAAAAATATCATCTTTACCGTGGTGTTCGTCTCGACATAGTAAGTAAGACAGACTTTGCTGCAAGTCTGGGATAACGTGTAAGCGTATAGCAAAGCTTCAAGCTAGGTGTAGTAGCTTATGGTGATAATTTCCAACGGAGATCCGATATGTTCAAACATTTGAATTTCATAGGCAGCGACGCTATAAGGCACATTTTTCACTGTCGTCCCTAGCTCTCTTTTTAATGATTAGTCAAATAATATTAGTGTGCACCGGACATTTTCAGGATAATACAGCATCTGTGCAAAATGCTTTTAAATGATTCCGCCCTTGCGGCTTTTTTTGTATTTGAAACAAATGATGATGCCTTGCTTGTATCTTTATTGATTAGCGATTAACTACAGAGGACTAATGTTCTAGAAAGTAGTAGTAATATAGTGCCGATACGATGAATTGCCAGAGCAGCATATAATTACTAAAAGTTTAAGACGCGGGGTTTTTATCGAGATTAATGTCCATAAAAAAGTCCTTACATGACAATAACGTCTCAGCCCCAGGGAGGGGGCTGGAGGGCTGTTAACTGGACTTGAGCTTCTCAGGAAAGCTGGGCCGCACATCGGCACAAGAATAACGAATCAAAAAGCGCTGTCTTGTAAAAAAAAACAGTAATGCTGCTGTCATTCATGTCATCTTGTTAAAGTCAAAACCTTGTGTTCTTCCAAGAGACTGCTGTGTTAGATCCTGCAATCAGTTTGCGACAAACTGCCCCAAGAGCTCTTCGAGCAGAATGGCCTCCTCTTGATTAAAACCATTCTTCTGTAATAGATATGACTGTTTATTGGACATTGGGGATCTGTTAGGCTGCTGAGGAAATGTCAGCACTTCACTTAATGTTTGATTTTGTTTTTATGTTTTGCTGAATGCTAGGTATACCGGGGACAGATACCTACTGCGTGTGTGTCACCTCTCTCAGGCCAGGAATACTGGGGCAGATACCTACTGTGTACATGTGCTTCTTCTGCTCTTTTTCTGTCTCCAGGCCTCCCCTGACCATGGTGTCTCCAAGCTACTCTGCCATTGCTGACATCCGGGAGATCATGGCTGGCAAGAAGCAGGGGCCTCTGAAAGCAGCCAAGCTGAACTTGTCGCTGGCTTCCAAGATAAAGTCCAAAAACATCAGTATGTAGAGCAGCACCTTCGCTGGGGAGGCGAGAATATGTACCACCCTTTAACTGTCGTGCTTTCACAATTAAAGTGCCATCACAAGTTTGTGGGTGTTGTGTTGCAGGAACAGGTCCGTTTGTCTATTTCTGTCTGGCGTGCATTGTAGCTCTTGACCTAATGCGCGTTGCGTGCTCTGCTTAATATTGGTCCTTTTCGCTAGTGATGCTAAAAGCTGCTGCTCCCAATACAAATTCTCTTGGGTACGGCTGCTTCGACGCCACCCACCCTTCGTAATTGTGCGCCCCACATGCCTAACTTGCAATTGTCTTTTTTTTTCTTTGCTCCTCGCTCCACTCATTTCCCTCTCAGACAATTCTTCCATCTTTAAGATCTCCCTGAAGAACAACAACAAGGCCCTGGCCCTGGCTCTCACGGCCGCGAAGGAGAAGTACCGGGCGCTGGAGACGGAGACGGTCCGGCTGCAGAGGGAGGTGCAGAAGCTGCTTTTCGAGAACGCGTCCTATCGGCACAGGCAGAGCCAGCTGGTGGGTCGGAGGCAAAGGGTCTCGCGCTCTGCTGGAGCAGTTCGAGGGCCTTGCCACAAAGCGATGGCTCAGAGCGTGCAGTAGTTTCTTCTTTTGTCATTGGGGCGTATTAATAGCCGTTCTCTTCCCTCCTGTTGTCATGTTAATACAGTATATCCAGATAAGGCATTGCCAGTAAGAACTTGTTGAATCAAGACTCCAGACTTAACTGTGGAGAATATAGGACAGGCAATTCAGCCCACTGAGCTGCTTGGTTGCTTGTAGCCAAGTGATCCCAGAGAATCTCTCATCTTGCCATTACTAGAAGAAGCCAAGGTACAAATAACTGTTATATTTAATAACTGCTGTGGTATAGTTAATAAGCCGCTGAACTACAATTCTAGCATGGGGGGGAGCGCGCAGCTAGCTACCCTGCCATGTTGTTGAAGCCGATAACCTGGTTTCTTTCAGGAATCAGCTGGATGAGGTCCAGGGGTCAGTTATCCGCTTACTCCCAGGTGGTCTGGAATGGCCAAATGTAACTGTTCTTGTGCTCATGCATGAAGCAAGCTCTCCCTCACTGTTTCTTTATCTTTCTGCAGCTGTCACTCCTGAGGACCCTGCTGGAAAGTACTTATAGCACAATGGCTACGGCCGCAGACCTGTGCTCTAATGCAGATGTAAGGGCCTCTTTATTTGAATGAGTCGTGTACCTGCAGAAGAGCTTTCTCAGGGGCAGGATTGTTTAAGCATGCAGTATATCCCAAGGGCTTTGTCAAGTTTTATGTTGGGCATTGAACAGATATTCCACGTGTTTTGTTTCAGCAGTGTTTTTAGTTTTGTGGGTTGGGAAAAGCATTCTAATCCCAGTTTCTGTAGTATTAAATTCCAGGCCAATCCAAGTTTTTTTTTTTTTCTGCTGTTCATTAATAGTGCTTTACACGTTTGAATGCTCAAAGCCATCTCAAAAACGGTTCCAAGAACGCACTATGAAATCAGTAGCAAAGTCTTTCTGTGCTTTTTGGAGAACAGAGCTTTCAGTGGAAATAACCAGCAGTGTTCTCTCTCCATTTAAGGACTCCTCCGATCTTCATGCCCTCAGAAGTGAGTGTTTCTCCACCAACACTGCTGGGACCCGGGCACCATCTCTGGCGTATTTATGATTTTTTTTCTTCTGTGTAAAGGAAATTTTCAAATTTAAAAGAACTGTGACCAAGGAACACTTTTTTCCCCCAACAGCATCATTAATGTAGAGGTTTTGTGTTCAGTGCTAGGATGCTGACCAGAGCTTCCCGCTCCGTAGGCGGTAGCAAAGCTTCTTCCGAAGTCCAGTCTGACCCGGTTCAACAGCATCTGAAACCGAGCCACAGAACTGACTTGGGAAACACCCCCGACCCTGAGCAAGAAAAGGCTTCACTGCCTGAGCAAAGACATTCCAAAGGTATCATCTGGGTATCATGTTTTTGTCTTTTATCTGTCATACGTTCAGGGCAGCTTTGAATCTATACTTGAATACTTCACTATGCTAACCTTTATAGTGCTGATATCCGATATGATCGTGTCATGGGTATGGAGAGGGGCAAGTAGACAAGTTTCTACACTGAAAATGAAGAGAGAAAAAACACTTTGGATTAATGTTGTTCTTTTAAAACATTTAAAACATTGTCACAGCTCCCCACTCGAGCCTCTTTTAATTCGCAGAGGTGAATTGAAAAGTCTGGTGTCCGTGTTACTGTTATCAACACATTTAAAAACAGTGAAAACATGTTTTTAGACAAGTTAAAAGAGAGGAGGCCAATAAGCCCATTAAACCCATGTGGTAATCAGTAGTTAATTGCTTTGAGGATCTCATCCATTTCTTGAAAGAAGCCAGGGTACAGAATTCATGCTGATCCTTACCCTGCCTGGGGTGTCCACTGAGCATTTCCGTGAACTCTATCTGAAGTTCTCTGGGCATAGGATTTTGACATGTTCCCCAAACCAAAAGGAATGGGTGGGAAACAATCAAGCGTTTTTAATTACATGGCTGGGTACCTTGTTCCAGACTCCCACCCCCCTTTGGGTGAAGTAGTACCTCTTGTGCTCAGTTTGAAACACTCTTCCACTTCTAGTGCAGTTGTAAGCTTAAGGGGGAACTGCAGTCCCAATTTCTCGGAATGGTTAGTAAATCTTGGTAACAAAAAAATGACGGTTTAGCAACATTTTACAACTTTTAAATCGGCGGTAAAATTGTGAACTTTGTGAAAGCACTGTATGGTTGCCATGGTTTCACAGGCAGATGAGAAACCGCTGGTCTCGCCGTGGGTGAGGGCGAGAGTTTGTATGAGTTGGGAAGTGAAAGCAGCCCTTTCTGCTCGCTAGTCTTTGTAAGCAAATAAGAAACGTGGTCTCCTAGCAACATTAATTATTATGAGTGTATTTCAGTTGGTTGGCTTTTTTTGCAGTACTTAAAACGATTTAAAAAACATGTCCCCTTGTATGTGTTGGTTTCTTGAAAATATTTACCATTAATATGGTAGCAAAATTTGCTTGGCATAAAGCACGTTTACAATGAAATGAAATAAGTCCTTTTGCATTGCTGGAAACATTGTCGCCTTGTTCAGCATCGCAAACAATGACAGCAGAAAGGTGATATACATACACTGAAACTTTCTCTTTTGTGATGTAAATTGGAGGTTGGACACGTTACCATGTACTTGGTAGCTTCATTGTGGTTTGAAACGCACTTTTCTTTGCTGATTCATTATAATCCTGAAATGAATCGCAGTTCCCTTTGCAGCGCTCTGGTCTTTTCTTGCAGGGAGCTCTTGTTGCCCTGACCCCGAAGCAGCGCCAGCCCGTCCGTGCCCAGCGAGCGAGCGGCCCTCTCGAGGCCCCAGCGAGGTAGAAGTGAAGATGAAGAAATGGACAGACTTGTACACCGATGCAGAAGAGGTGCCCTCCCAGGATAAGCCTGGCTGTCTCCCCGTCAGCGAGCCAGCGGGGCGCAGAACATGTGCCGGGTCCGCGGCCGAGCCTCTCCCAGACGCCCCCCCGCCGCCCGAGGAGCCCCCCGGGCGGGAGTCCGCCGCCTTGGAAACGGAGATGGAGTTGACCTTCAGCGAGGCGTCCGCCACCATCGTTACGGTGGAGAGCAAGCCCAAAAGAGCGGCGAAGAAGAGGAGCGAGGCGGGTCCGAGGAAGAAGGAGCAAGCGGCAGGCGCTCTGAGGTGTGCGAAAGCCCCGGCGCCACCGGAGAAGAAGAAGAGGAAGAGGGCGACTGCTCACGGCAAGGACGCAGGTCCAGGTGTTGCAGACGGGCAGTTTGAGCCACACGGCCCTGGTATAAAAGAGGACCGGTCGCCTACTCCCAAGCAGCAGGACGACGACGACTGCAGCAGGAGAACGTTTTTCACCTTCCGCAACCTTAAGGACCGCAGGGATACGAGGAACATTTCAAACAAACCTCCCGAGAACGTTTCGCTGGGCAGCGGGGGTTTAGGCTGCTTGGAGGCTGACGCTTCTGGGGCGGAAAATCCAAGGAAAACGTTTGTGATCTCCCACAATGAAAATGCCCGAAATCCCAGAGATCATGGGAGGAAGTGGGCTGGTCATGGCCAACCAGGCATCTCAGCACCACCCGATGAATGTGACACAGTGCTTGACTGTCAGATTCCAGGCACAGCTTTGCGCGATGTTAGTAGTGTGGAAAATGCTGGGGGAAGGAAGGCTGAAGCAGACTCTGTGTTATCTGTGGCTGACTCTGTAGACAGTAGGCGGACGTACGTGATCGCTGGTCCTTGCAGCGTGACTGGAGTTCAGAACTCTGAAAGCAAAGACAAAAAGAAAATGCACAAAGTGCCTAAGGTGAAAAGTGAAGAAGGAGATGTTTTAAGCATGAACAAGTTCTCCACAAGTCAGAACACAGATTCTGCAGCGAATAGGCTAACCTTTGTTGTCACTCACAGAGAAAAGCTTGTTCCCGATGTTGTTAACCACAGAAGAACGAAAGTGCTCTTCGTGACAACAGACGCCGAGTCCGTCGACCCTGAAAGAAATCACAAATCCCCCAGCTATGATCCTCTGTTGTCTGAAGATGGCAATGAAAAATCCACAGCTACAATGGAGTCAGTAACTAGCAAAAAAGGCCAGAATAATCAAGCCAGGAATCAGTCGAGTAAAAAGAAATCCCAGAGTGGGAAACGGAAAGCACCTGTTCCTGAGCACCCGGAGGACATATCCGAGCCTCAGAGGGGGCCTGTGCTGGAGCAGTCCGCTGTCCTGAATGACCTGAGGAAGCTGGTCACAGAAGAGAGGCCTCCCTGGGAGCTCTTTCCTGCCTCCCCAGAGAGCTGTTTCTCCAGTCCTCCCAGACAGCAGGGGTCGCTGTCTCATGAGGAGTCGCCGCCACAGCCCGCTGTTCAACAGGCCTCGCCCCCGAGAACAGCAGACAGTTTGCCAGGTATGCGGTGTTTGTCTTTCGGGAATCCAGGTTAAAGGAGAAAAAAAGCTCAACTTTTCTTTTTCTCTTCACTGCTTCAGGGCTTTTACGGCAAATGACAAGTGATGCATAACTGACAGCTGTTTCCTCAGTGCTAGCTTCTGACTGGACAGAGGCCTTGTTAATTTGTTTTCATTCTGCCTTCACTCATATATTTGACGCCATTCCTTCATGAGGCCGTTTCACACCTGCTTTGTTGAACTGTACCTCCCCCTGCAGATGGAAGAGTGCTCAAGTGTTTGATGAACACCAACCACTGCTCCGGTGAAGAGTCGGGGAGGAAGAGGAGATGTGCCTCTGCTGCTGTCTGCTACGCAGATCCACCAATCAACTGGTAAGGCCTGTGCCTGGAGGGCCGCCCTGATGGCCAGTTGTAGAGGCACCCCAGCCTCGGTTCTCTTCCTAACCTTGTACAGCACCACTACTGGGGTAAAAACAAACTGCTCATCCTGCAAAATATAAACTAACTATTTCCTCTGCTCTTAGGGATTCAGAGTCATGGGTTAATTTTTTTGTTTTCAGCTTAGAATGGCTAATTACAGTTATTGTTTCAGCAGAAGGGATAAGATAAGATCACTTTATTGGCCCTATACAATTTCTTGCATTAGGAATTTGTCTTTTTGAATACCCCAACTTGCTCTCCATGAGACACACAGACACACAGATAGGGAGAGAGAAGCCTGGAGTCAGAGCACAGAGTCAGCTATTGTACAGCGCCCCTGGAGCAGTTGGGGTTAAGGGCCTTGCTCAGGGGCCCAACGGAGTAGGATTCCTCTGCCGGCCGCGGGATTTGAACCGGCAACCTTCTAGCCACAGGCACAGATCCTTGGCCACAGAGCCACTGCTCCGAAATTCAACTCTCTCTGTCAGAGAAAAATAGTTAGGGTATATGGGAGCAAAGTTGCTATGAAAATGTATCTCGGGTCCGTCTTGATATCCATTGTCTGATGGTGTGTTCTTTCACTCTTGTGCTTTGTTGCAGTAAATTGAGACGCGGAGACAAGCACACAGACACCAGGTTCCTCAGCTCGCCCATTTACAAAAGGGGAAAGAAGCATGGCAAGAGAGAGGAAATGAAGGCACGGGTGAAGATCGAAGGAGTTTGACTCCAGGAGCAGTTGAATATTTAGTTTATTCTTATTTTTGAGTGCCTGTTTGAATAACGTTTTAGTGTTCTGTCACAATTGCTTTAAATACCATTTTTTTGCAATAAAATATGACTTTTATCTTTTGCATTTCTGCTGTTTGGTCTGGGCTTTAGAATCCTGTGAGGTGGTGCAGACTTGTGATGAATGAATGCTGTGTCCCCTTCACACACATACCTTTATTACAGGTAATGTTAGGGACAGTAATATCTGCGCAGCTCTGTTTCAGACCCTATGCAGATGGTCAGTAAATGTACCAGATAAAAGCATTCTGAAGCTTAAAAGTGCTTGATTGTATCTGCCTTTTCTCAGATCGGTAAGAAGAAGCCTTAAAGCAGAGCTTATATTAAATTGATTGGGAGAATGAGGGGAAAGTTTCTGAAATGTCACTACATGTCACAGCATCTTGGAGGCTTTTTACTTAAAGGCATTAAGGTTTTCCTGAATAAAGCTGGTGCGCTATGCCGGTTTAAGTGCACACTCGTCAGGTGGCACGGGGAGAGGAGAGACGGATTAAGTGTATTCGGGGCGGAGTGGTGGCTCTGTGGTTAAGGATCTGTGGCTGTGGCTAGAAGGTTGCCGGTTCAAATCCCGCGGCCGGCAGAGGAATCCTACTCCATTGGGCCCCTGAGCAAGGCCCTTAACCCCAACTGCTCCAGGGGCGCCGTACAATGGCAGATCCTGCGCTCTGACCCCCAGCTTCTCTCCCTGTCTGTGTGTCTGTGTCTCCATGGAGAAAAGCTGGGGTATGTGAAAAGACAAATTCCTAATGCAAGAAATTGTATAGGGCTAATAAAGAAACATTATTATTATTATTGTTATTAGAGTGAGCCACAGAACAGGAAAGCTGCACAGAGGGAAGGAGGTGGATAGAATTTCACAAGTGTTCTCATTCCAAGACCATGCGGCTGAACTGATGGCCAATCCGATAGCTCTGCCAAGTGGGAGGCGTTTTTCCCACATGGTCACTAGGCAACCTCTTCCTGCGCAAGCCAGGCGACCTGCCTCCTTTGTTGTCCCCAGTTCGTGTCATTAGCTGCAGGCAGCAGCTCGAGCTGCTAATTAATTTTTCAGTGTTACCTGTTCACCTGCGAAACCTGATGCTGGGGGGTGCTCGTGGGGGTGGGGGTGGGGGTGGCGATGCCGCGCTGCCTGCCTGCCTGCCTCTGTGGTGCCAGCGGTTCCTTAGCAACGCAGCCGCTGCTCTGCGGGAGAGCGAGCGCTGTGCCTGTGGCCCACAGCCTGGAGGATAGCAGCCCTGAGCCCTCATTTTCTTCCTCTCTCACAGGTAAGTTCAAGAACGGCCAGTCCTTTTGATTCATGTCGGGTCAAGGGGGCGAGTGCAGCGCGCGCGCTGTGGTTGTGTTTGTAAAGGTGTGTGTGGTGGGGGGGGGTTTGGAAGCTGTTCGGATGGGTTGGATGTGTTCACCCAGTCCACCTTTGGCGGTTGCCTTTCCGGCAACCCCATCGATTCTCTCGTCGGAAGTAGCGACTTGTCACTCTAAAATACCCGCCTAGGAACTTGCGGATCCGGCCCTTGTTTCAAAGTCGGGTGTTTTAAATGGAAATGGGTCCTGAAAGGACACCTCCCAGGGGCCCAGCGGGACTGTCGTGGCGGGCCTGACGTCTCTAGCGCCCTGCGGCTCTGCTCCTGGAAGTGCAGGACAGGTGCGAGGTGTGGTCTGGCTCCTGTTATCTCTCTGTTAATGGCATGCAGCAGTCCCCTGGGGCTGGGCTCAGCTCGGTCCCTGTCTGTCGGGTCCAGTGTTCAGGACCTGCACAGGATGGGGGGGTGGGAGCCCCACTGCAGCAGCCCACACTCTGGACTCCCGGCTCTGTCACGCTCACTAGGGCTGCTGCCATGATGTCATGGCGTTCCTAGTCTCCCTGGAGAGGGATATACAGTTCAGCAGAGTTCTCTTTAAAACAGGAGCACTCGTGTTAAAGGCATCCAAAGTACAAGTGCTTCCCCAAACACATGAACCCTTCATGTCACTTCGATATATATAGTAAATGTGGTTTCGTAGTTTTTGGAGATGAGAAATTGAGGTGTAATGATATTCACAGACAGTGTACTGTATATCTGCAAATACAGTGTCTTACACCATGAGGTGTAAGTGTGAACAAGTACGTTTGAAAGGTAACGGGTCTGGACGAAAGGTCTGCGCTTATCACGCAATTTTAATGTGGCCAGCATACTGTATATCCCCTGACTGTGATCTTCAGCGTCTGGGCAGAACCCCGTGAAGAGATCCTGTACCGGGGCTGGGACCTAGATTTGTGTCCTGTGGCATCTGCAGCACTTCTCTGGGCAGAAACTCCATTCAGAATTCTTCTGCGGGGGCTCTGTGGTACTGTGCAAGCTGCAGAGTGCTAGAAACTAATTATCAGGGCTGCAGAGGGAAGCCCAGCCAGCTCTGTTGGAGTACAGCAAAAGAAAGTGACCTGCTGCAAGCCTCTCGTGAGCAAGGGGGTGGTTGATGCGACTTCTCTTTTGTAAGGGGCCGCTGTCTCTTCTCAGATGCGCAAATCTCCCGTGGCCTGAGGCACGCCGCGAGATCACCGCTCTGTGAAGATGGAAAGGAGGCGCCTGAGGAGGGACATCGAGGCCTTGCTGTGAGTGTGCCGAATGTGTGTAAACCTGTGGTCCAGTCTTCTGCTTTTTTTGGTTTCAAAACCCTTTAGTGTTTGTTTTGTTCTATCTCCAGCTATCGTCGTTAGATTATAACACTGCACATCTCCCTGACTGTAAATGACAAGACTAAGCCTTCCATGGGGGATGTCTTGTCAGTGAGCTGTGTTTTTGACCCTTGAGAATGGGCCGGTGGACTGTGCTGAGCAAGACAAGATGCAGTCCTTTCTGTCCACACCCTCCTTTATCTTGCCAGCATCTAGGACATCGCGAGATGCAGTCTCGTACCACCCCACTCTTTTCTACGCTGTGTCCTTTGCTTTAATTTGATAGTATGAAAACACTTAAAAAATAGACCACCAGCAGGATTGTTTTCCAAGAAAGCTCTGAGGCTGTTGTCCACACATGAGTTTAAGTTCCCCTTTTCCTGTGCAGGGGAGATTACATTGGTCAGAGACTCCGAGAAAATGGATTTGATCCCAAAGGAAAGAGGGTTTCCACTGTGCTGGATGACTTGGTAAGTGGAATGTCGAGATCGATGGGACTCTGGGATCCCTCTTACCCCTGCCTGACAAAGAAAGGGCCAGACCTTCATGTTGAGCAGGATGGCCTGCTCTGTGCCTGGCGTCTGTGTGAAAGGAAGCAGGCAAGGTGCTACTGGTACAGGCTGATGCCTTTCAAAACTCTGGCTTTGGTTGAACTGATGAGCAAATTAGAGTCTGAAATCGTCAACAAGATCTGTTTTTCCAAAATCCCAAAGTCAACCGCTGGGAAATCCTCCGACTCTTGAATGAACATCGCACTTCATCAGCTTCATCGATCCTCATCGAGCTTGCTCTAGCGCGTGTGATGATTTAATCTCGCCACCCGCAAGACAGATCCTTTTCTTGTTTTTTATTATTTATCTTATTTTATTTAGTCCAGCTTTATTGTCCCCTAGGGGAAATTTGTTTTATATGGCACAGTCAAACACAACACAATGACAAATAAACATCACCAAGAGGGAAGAGAATACAGTAGTGTCACAGGAGACAAGAGACAAGAGACAAGGTAGTTACTGTGCATTGTTTAAGAGTGTGATTGCAGTGGGAATAAAAGATTTCCCGAGTCCGTTGGTTTTACACCTGGGGGCAGTTGGGAGAAGTGTGAATTCGCAATGGAGGGGGTGAGACACACACTCCCTGATGCTTTTGGCTTTCTTACTCACCCTCTGTTTGTGAAGGATACTTAAGTTAATTTGATTATTCCCGATTATTTTGCCACTCATATTCACTGATTTACCAGCCTATTACAATTACTGATGTTGCCAAACCAGCAAGTGAAGCAGCATGTTAGGACACTTTCAATGAATGATTTGTAGAAAAATGTGTAAGAATAGTTTTATCCTGCCTTAAAGTATCTGAGTTTCCTAAGAGAGAAGAGTCTCTGTTGGCCTTTTTTATAGATAGTGTCACAATATTTGTCCCATTTTATGTTAATTGTCATTTGGGACCATTTTTCCCCCATTCCTCATATAGGAACGTGGTACCTCGTATAGGTAATACGATTCCCTCGGCCATGTCTTCTCAGCCGTGGCCTTAGTATGTCTTCAGGTTTATTGTCATTCCCTTCTGCCCCTTTCTGTCTGTCACAGCGCACGTTGGTTAAAGTCATTGGTTAAAGAGACTCTGAGGCCATTTCCCCCGTACCATCACCTTCCAGCCTGTTTTATCTCATCTTAATTTCAGACACCACATGCTCAGTTACAACATCATTGGTGATCCATCAATGCACATGCAGGTTAAGGTTTTCCACTTTCTTCTCCTGGTCATCTCTTTGGTTGCACCGGCTGCCTGTTCTGGGCCATTGCCCTGCTGCATGGTGAGGTGCTGCCCAGTAAATATGGGAGTGCTTTCTTCTACACATGCAGACAAAATACTTCTGTGAACTTCAGAATTCATTCTGCTGCTGCCACCATCAATATAGATGAGTGATGCAGTTCCAGAAATAACCATGCTTGTCCAGGCCATGACACAACCTCCACCATGCTTCACAGATGAGGTGGTGCTCTTTGGATCAACTGCAGTTCCTTTCTTTCTCCCTGCTTTCAGCTTTCCATCACTATGGTAATGGTTTATCTTGGTCTCATCTGTCCATACAACTTTGCTCCAAAACTCTCCTGGCTCATCTTTATACATTCAGGCCAATCCTGAAGGCTGGTGGAGAACATTTGCCCAAATCGTCTGGTGTACAGGAACTGTGTGCTTGCTTTTTTCAGGCTCATTATGACCTGGCCATTGCAGTCGCTCTTCATTGGCTGAATGAAGACGAAGGAGGAGACGGTGTTGAAAAAGACACAAGGTGAGTCTTGCAAAGGCAACAGTTGTAGAGTTCCAATCGAAAGTTATTAATGGGCAGATATTGTTCATTCTTCTTCATTCTGATCCCTGGGTTCACTAATATCTGATCATCCTGAAGCAGATCACTGCGTCTTGTTATAATCTGTACTACAGGCAATGATGGTGATGAAGTGTGATGGTGGAACAGTGTGTCCCCTTTGTAAGAAAGCTGCACAGTATATCCATGTATGGTGCATGTTCCTTAATGTATCAGCAATTATACACATGCTAGCATGGATCTGGGAACATTAATTTGTATGAAGTTTGATTTTTCTTTCCACAACCTGTAATTTTCAATGATGCTACTGCGTGACTTTTGGAGTAAGACAGCAGAGAGTTCCTACCAGGCAGAGACATTGTGGCGAGGGGAAACTTTGCAGACTATGTACATGCAAGACTGAAGCTCTCTGAAATGCAGTTGCAAGGAATATGGCAGGAACGTCAATTTATTAGTTTGTGTGTTTCTTCATTATTTCCACATCCCATCCATATCACCCATGAATCATTAACACTCCAGTACCAGCCTTGAACTGTCTCTTACTGGTTCCTGTTTGGTACTGTAACTGGCTGCGGATATGTCTCACCCTGCTCTTGTCCACGAGATCAGGCGTCAGGGAACAGGCCTGTGGTCTCTGTGTTTCTCCTTGTGTGTTAAGATGAGCAGGCTGTGGGAGGGCTCTACCCTGCAGAACATGCCTCCCTTTGTATTCTAGATGCAAGGAATACCCCCGACCTGGCAGATACCCCAACAGGCTGGAGCGTGAGGCCATGATCCTGTCCTCCTTTGCTGGGACAGTCCTGGTGAGTGTGAGAGTAGAATCTCTTTAGACGTGTCAGTTTTTTTTGTGCATCCACAGCAAGCCCTAAATGAGAACTACCACGTGGAAAAGCATTTTTTGTATGAGCCAGAAATAAGGAAATATGATGATCCCATCATATCTCAGGAGGTCAGCATGACTGAGCCCAGTGGCATGATGGGAGATCACTGAGGAAATTCAGGTCAATCCTGTTTGTTTACCACTAGGTGACTTTGTTCTGAACCAGAATATCCAGACCAGTATCCCAATATAGTGACACTGTGCTGCAGGAGGTGCTGTCCTTTGGAAGAGTTATTAAACATCACTACTTGATCAATAAAAATCCCATGGCACTCTTTGGAGACTAGGGATGTTAGCCCTGTTGTCCTGGCTAGATTCTGCTCTGGGCTTGAATGATCTCGCTACTCTGACAATATTTAGAAAAGGTGAAATGTCTGTTGAAAGGAGACATGAAGCGGAAGACTACAAAGGAAACTGAAAGTAGGCGTTTTTTATCAAGTAAGAAGACTCACCTCTTTCAAATGTACTGCAATTTGTTAGCACTGAGACAGAAGACAGATGCTGTGCCGGTGCTGCCCTCCCGGACCTGATCTGTCATGCTTGACTCTTCTTCAGTTGTGTTGCTGGTTTTCTTTTTACAGAACAGGCTCCCGGTGGAAGATGTGCTGTGCCTCTACAGGTGTAAGCCCTCCACGACGTACGCTCAGAGGAGCAGCCAGGTGAGGAGCTGGGGCGGCACGTTGGCGTGGTGGCGCCGGGCACGGCAGTGGTTCGAGCTTGACCCGCTGTTGTCTTTCGCCCTCACAGAGCCCGATCGTCCACCCCTTCACCCTCTCCTCCCACCCATTTGCGATGCTCACTGCGCACGAGGCTGTGGAGCGCGCCAAGAAGCACAGTAAGGGCCGGTGTCTGCCTTCCTCTCTTCCTGGGCTCTCTCTGCCCTCTGCGCTCCTGCCGAGTCACCGAGGAGGGGCGACAGAAGGAGAAAGAGGGGGCAAGTTTGTACACCATGACAGCTCCCGCGCGGGGAAAGGGCATCACGAGCAGTGAAAAGCACTATCACTGCACGTCCATCAATCCAACAGGCATCTGAGTGGGAAGGCGCCCCCGGTGTGTGTTGGCTGGGAAGGAACAAGCTTAATTTAATTCCATGCGGAAAAGTCCTTGGTCTTCCTTTTACTTTTTCTAGTGTGCGATTCATTTTTACTTTTTGCCCAATTGAAATTTAGTCACTTTGCTTGTTTCTATTTAATATTGGAAGTTCAATTTATTCTCTATCATATTGTTAGCCCGATGTTTTGCTCATCTGCATTGGTATGATTTCTCGTGCTTATTGAATACATCTGTGTCTGTTTAATTAGGAAAAAGGTAGCCAGACATTCCTCTCTGGTCCAAGTGTCCTTCCTGCACCTGAGAGGGGCCAATTCGTTTGCACTGCAGGAGCAAGCTGTCTCAGAACTGAGGGGTGATCATGGCTGACAGTCACCATCACTGTTTTGTTTGGTTGTCCAGCACAGAGGCTGCAGTTCTGGAAATCTGAGAAGTGCAAGCTGGGGAACACTGCAGATCAGAACCTCCCAACACAGCCCAGCACCTCCAGCACCCCCAGCAGCACAGAGACCTCGCTCAGCGTGAGTCTCCGACCTGTGGGACTGTGTGGGCTTGAGGGCACCGGGTTGCGCTGGGGCCTGTCTGTACAGGCTGTTTCAACATGCCTGAAACTGCCATAGGGGCTTAATGGGGAATCGTGCTTTATAAACAGGCTTGGAGCAGAGAGATGAGATGTGGGTGTCAGATGTGTGCTGCTGCGTGGTGCACGGTGAGCTCCACAGGGGAGAATCCGTAGGTAGAAGAAGCCAAGTGTCTCTCAGTGGCCCTGCTGGGAGATCAGGAGGGTCTCTGTGGTCACTGTTACGGGGGAAGCCTTGGGCAACTGCATGACAGGCAGGGGATCTGAGTCATGTTCTGCTAGTGACAGTGCCCAGACCTGGCCTAGTGCCTATCTAGACAGCAGGACACGAGCACGAGTATCGGCTGCGTCTCTGAAGAACTAATGCTTCTTCCAGCATTCTGCAGTGCTTAGTCAGGTCATGCTGACGTTACTATGCAAGGACACTGCACACCCTTAGCTCTGCTGGTTTTCCATAAGCTTTGCCACTTTGTGAAAAGATATTAAAATGACTGTTCCGGGTCTCTTAGAAAATTATATTTATTCCTTAAGTCCACCCGTGATATGTGAACTGATAGTGTTCCTTGGGGGCTCACCTCTTGTGGGGGACTTTAGGGAACGCTGGTCTGTTCTGAAATCACCAGGCGCTAACAGAGATCAACGCTGTCTGTCACCCACAGGTCTCCGATGACTCGACAGAAGAAGCAGAAGATAGAAACGGCTCGGAGGAATCGTTTCATGCCTACAGGGATACGACCGACTAAATCATGGCTCTTATTTTAAGGCCGATGGCCATTAAGGAAGAGGAAACATCTCGCACAGTTGTTGTTTTGTGAAGGCGGTCTGGCTGCTGTTGAAGTGGACTGGGGTCAGTCCACAGCTGGCCTGTCAGTCTCTGATGGCGATGGTGGCGTGTTGAGTGCACAGACTGAAATGTAGCAAAGGACTGTAAAGTCAATCGTTTTCTCACTGCTGACAGGAAGGTTCAGTTTTGTATTCTCTCATGCTTCCCCGTATCTGTTGAATTTAATACACTAGAAACTATATTAATGTTGAAGTGGGACAGATATTTCGACTCATGTTCACACTTCTAGAGTTAGTGTTTAACTGTGTGGTGGAGAGACTGCAGAGGTGAGTTAGCTTAGCCCTACAGGCCTGTATCAGTTGGCAAACTGCTCCAGGGTCTGTTACGAACTAACTTTGTAAGAACAACAGTAACTCATTTGCTCCTAACGAGAGAAGGAGTGATCAGCTTAGAAGAACATCATCCAGAGCCTGAGCTGAAATACCTGTCACAGACTACATGTGGCTGTAGTGTATAAAAAGGGTTCGAAAACTCGAGCGGTCTGTGTTCTGCAGGGCTGACCCCACGCTGTGTTGCTGTGTGTATTGAGCTCAATAAAAGCTGACTTTGCACAAGGTTGTCTCCTGCTCCTCTGCTCAGGAAGTCCCACAGCACATGTCAAGCTCATAGTTTTAAAATGCCTATAGCCTGACATTGCGTGTCATGTGTGTGGAAATTGATTATCCCAAGAGCCTGCCCAGAAACAAATACTGCTTCCCTGACCTCTTACCTGTCTGTGTGCAGGCACAGTCTCTTTGCAGCACATCTGTATTTATTTTCTCGATTAAATGATTACCAGCTCAGAGGTGTGCCTTTTGATGACTTTATACATTTCTTTTATTGGGGATTATTGGATAAAATATCTTTTTGGAGAGACTGAAAGGGGATGAGGGTCAGCAATGTGCCAGCTAGGACTTTTACTAATGATGAATCAGGGCTTTGCCTCTATAGAAGGGATCCAGATTTTGGCAGCATTGCTGATGTTAAAATTCCAGTCATTAAAATAACAATACGTTTGATCCAGTGAACTTTAATTGAGGTGTATAAAAACGGGCTAGGCTCAGTGCCATGAGTATCACAGAGAGAGAGAGAAGCTTATCACAGAGAGAGAGAGAAGCTCCTTCAGCCTGGACACAATGAGTAGGGTAAGAATCTTTGTTTTTTTTTAGTTCAAATTTCCAGTGCACATCTAAGATCTGTATTTCCCTTGTAAGAATGGGTACTGCAGGACGAAGGCCATTATTCTTTACCGTGTGTTAACGGTACCCGCATAGTGGGGCTACTGTCTACAGAATGCGGTAACTATTCGCGGTCCGGGTTAAAAATCTATCCATGGTTTGTAGTGTTCATTGAGTTTTGATCGATGCCTGGAAACTAAACGAAAAGGTTAACGAAGTAACCGTAGTCAATTTAGTATCGAAGGGGAAAAGCTGGGAAATGCAGGACTAAACATCTGGCTCTGAAACGTGTGAGAAACTGAGAGCTTTCTCTACCATTTTCTTTTGCCTGTAGATCATCTTCTACGAGGATAAGAACTTCGGGGGGCGCTCCTATGAGTGCAGCAGCGACTGCGCCGACATGCACTCCTACTTCAGCCGCTGCAACTCCATCCGAGTGGAGAGCGGCTGCTGGGTCCTGTACGAGCGCCCCAACTACATGGGCTACCAGTACGTCCTGACCCGGGGCGAGTATCCCGACTACCAGCGCTGGATGGGCTTCAACGACTCCATCCGGTCCTGCCGCACCTTCACCTATGTAAGCAGACATGTGTGCTTCACGCTTCCTGAGCTATAAAGAACCCGGCGAGCACGCTCGTCTAATCGTCCGGGAATAAATACCGAGCGCTGAGGTTGTCGTTCTTGACTTGGCTCGTGTATGGCCGACTGACTCCGGTCGTCTCTGGCTGGAAGGAATGCACTTTTTAAGGGCACGGGATTCCTCCTATAGTAATCTCCCCTGATTTCTCTTTATCACTAAGTTTGGAAAAGCGCTTTACAAATGCAAGATGTCAACTACTTTTTTTTTTTTATTATTAATGCTGCCAAGCCCTTGCTATGGGGAAGTAACTGTTCTTTCGGCCGTGCAGTGATTTTCACAACTCTCAGGATTGCTGGTCTCAGTGTCACCAGAAGCTTTGTACGGGTACTCTGCTTCAGTCGTGCGATGCGTGTGTATTTGGCACAGATAAATGGGACAGAGAATTGATAGGAATTTAAAAGAAAATTGTTTCCATTCCTAAGCAGGTCAGAGATCACCTTTTAACCTCCTACCTGTAAGATCTCGTAATGTTTGAATAGAAAAGAAGCTTGACGAGTTGGGCTGGGAGGAGAAGCGGCAAGTGTGGGGGTACTGCGGGGGTCCCCGTCTGACAGACTCAGAGGCGCGTGATGAGTCTGCGCGCTGTGTCTGCTGGAGTTAAAAAGACAGGTGCAGGTTAGCGACAGCGTGACCGCCCGTCACACAGGAAGACAGGTAGATCTGCCTCCCTTGGCGACGGCGTCTCAGGGCTGCGCTCAGCCGGGTCACCGCTTGTCTTCCAGACCAGCGGAGGGCCCTACCGCCTGAGGATCTACGAGAGGAGTGACTTCGGGGGCCAGATGATGGAGTTCACCGACGACTGCGAGTCGGTCCACGACCGCTTCCGTTTCCGTGACATCCACTCCTGCAACGTGATGGACGGCTACTGGACCTTCTACGAGCAGCCCAGCTACAGAGGCAGGCAGTACTTCATGAGGCCCGGAGAGTACAGGAGGTTCAGCGACTGGGGCGCCAACTGCGCTGCCACCGGCTCTTTCCGAAGGATCACGGATTTTTAGAAGAGTTTTAAATCAGCCGCAGTCTTTAGCAGTGCTGGCGTGCGAATAAAAAAGATTTCAAATCAACTTTCGCGTTTCCTGTGCTTATCTTACTCAACAATTAAAGGTTCTAGCGTCTGTGACGGGATTCCGACACCGGGCTTTTTAGAACGCCCCCGAGAAAGCACTGAGACGCACTTCATCTCAATATACAACATGGTTTTACGGGCAGAGCAGGGAGAAGACCGATCAAACACAGTAGTTCACCTCTCATATCTGCAATCACTACAGCCTTGGAGCAGGGTAATTCTGACCAGTCAGGCAGGAAATGTGTCCGGTCAAGCAGGTTAGACGGCATCTTAACTGACAATATCGCCCCTGTAGCTGCAGCTATGACTTGATAGAAGCAATCAAATCAACTAAAGCGATCAAAGAGGTTCAGCTGGGAGCTGCGAAGGAACAGGTAAAGGTTTATTCCAGAGTGAGAGGGAAGGAAAAGTAACACAACGTCAGGCGTCACCTGAAGGGGGCTCCAGATCCGAAACATTGCGTTTCTTTTCTTTGCTTTACAGCATGGGATGAACTTTCACCTGTTCCTAACCTGATATAAGCTCAGCGGTCTTCTATCTCCTTAACAGACTGGGTGAAAAGAAACCAGTTCAGTCTGTTGTGTTGCTGGAGAAGGGAAGAAGGTTTCTTCAGCGAGCTCTGACCAGGTCTACCAGTTCTGCTCGGAAAGTGTGACCTTCGAACACATCCATCTACGTGGTTTAATTTGTTTCAGATGACATTAAAGGAGAACCTCATTTCCTTGCCCCACTCAGGAGCAGGTCTGGCATGGCTGTAGATGTCCAGATGGTCGGCTCCGTTCTGGGGAAGTAAATGTTTCAAGGAAGGATGAAAACCTGTCAACCCGGGGTTTCGTGTTTTCTGGAACACTGATTCTAACGTAGTAGATTTTGCGTTTTATTAAATCATTTATCATTACTCATAATAACTTGGATCACATATCTGGCTTCGCTGTTTTTATTCCCTGACACCGAGGAGTCGATCTGTCCTCTGAAGGGAATTGAGCAGAAAGTGTCTGAACTGACACGCTCTGACCACAAGATGGCCCCAGTTGCACCGAAATGGGACCGATTTTTTTTTTCAGGAGCAGACCGAAGTGCACAATCATAACACAAGCGAGCTGAAGTCCAAAAACAGCCACTTGTTCCATTTTGTCTAAGTTTTTGTTTTAAAGTCTAAAGTCAATGAAAAGTGAATCGAAAATCAGATTATAATATGGTACGTTTTCTATTACAAACATGGCACGTTGTGAAGTACATTTTGGATCAAATATCAAGTCCGATACATGCAGTAGATGTACAGTTGCAGAAAAAAGAGAGAAAAAGACAGATTAGAAGATGTACAATAGGATAGGATGGGCATGTGGGGCCAGCAGAGAGTGGACTTGGACTATAGTTTAAAGATATTGTGCTTGAGGCACAGGGCAGATTGATTTAGCTGTATATCAAAGTTAAGAAAGCTTCGGTCCCAATGATTTGCTAAATTAAGAAAATGCTAGGCGTAGGAATAAACTTTGCAACGTGATAAAAAAGAACAGGATCCAGTGAAAGAAAAATAGTATAACGAACAAAAAGGTAAAAAGGGATTTTAGAGATGTCAAGCAAGAAAAAAGAAAATAGCACTGGAGGTTAAAATAGATCATAAAATGCCTTTTTTTTCCCCAATCTTACAACAACAAAAGAATGGCAAAGTGTCAACTGTGTGTATCAATGGGAAACTTTCACAAAGAAGAAAGAGAAATGACTGATGTTTTAAATGAATATTTTATAGTGAATAATACTAGCTTAGACGAAGTGGAAATGTTACAGCCACTAGAAACACTAAGGACAAATAAACCTCCAGGGCCTGATTCAACCTGCTGTACTTCATCAGGAGATGTTATTCATGGGCCATTAACAGAGCTCTTCCAGCAGTCACTGAAGACAGGGTAGTGCCCAAGGCCTGGAGCATCACTGATCTGCACCCATCCACTCAGACGGCGACAACAAACAGACAGATAATAATTAATAATAATAATTGCTTACACTTATATAGCGCTTTTCTGGACACTCCACTCAAAGCGCTTTACAGGTAATGGGGACTCCCCTCCACCCCCCACCAATGTGCAGCATCCACCTGGATGATGTGACAGCAGCCATAGTGCGCCAGACATCAGCTGTCAGTGGGGAGGAGAGCAGAGTAATGTAGCCAATTCATAGAGGGGGATTATTAGGAGGCCATGATTGGTAAGGGCCGAAGGGAAATTTGGCCAGGACGCTGGGGTTACACCCCTACTCTTTTTGAGAAATGCCCTGGGATGTTTAATGACCACAGAGAGTCAGAACCTCAGTTTTACATCTCATCCAAAGGATGGCACCTGTTTACAGTATAGTGTCCCCGTCACTATACTGGGGCATTAGGACCCACACAGACCGTAGGGTGAGCACCCCCTGCTGGCCCCACTAACACCTCTTCCAGCAGCAACCTTGGTTTTTCCCAGGAGGTCTCCCCTCCAGGTACTGACCAGGCTCATACCTGCTGAGCTTCAGTGGGCTGCCAGTGGTGAGTTGCAGGGTGATAAGGCTGCTGGCTAGACCAATAGGTCGCACCTGAGCTGTGTGCAAAACTAGATGGGAAATAATAATTAGAACTAAATTTCAGGATCAGCCGAACAGAAATATTTTTCAATAAAAAAAAAACAAACAGGTACTGAAAGAAATGCACAGATCCATCTCACTGCGACTGAACATCATTAAAGACCATCTTACTGGACTATACAGAGGATTCTGTCAGAGAGAGTGCTGACACAGCCTCTCTGAGTCCCTGCAGATAGATTGTCCTTAGTTTGTTTGCAATCTGCTAGTTCTGCAAAAGCTTACACATCACAATGCCACCGGTTTGTCTTGTGACCACAGAGTGCATGGAAACAAAGTGGTGAGATGCTCTGTGTGAATGGCCAGGAGTCCGTGGGGACACAGCTATCCACCTGAAAAGGGGGATTTTGCTGATGCTGAAACGGGGGACCTGCATTAGCATAACAAAAATCATTTGCTGTATGATTTGGCTCTCAGACAAGTATATAAGGCCAGATGTCCCCTCTCTGAACGCAGTGGCTGAGGGTCTCCGATCACACTGAGACAAAATGGGCAGGGTGAGGTCCAAGGGTTTCTGTTTGAAAAATGATGGATTATCTGTGTTGAAAGTCACAAGGAAACATCTGTATGTGCTGTTTTGAGGCGCCAGAGGTAAGTGACCTCACTTTCTGCTTTCTAATTGCAGATCATCTTCTACGAGGACAGGAACTTCGGGGGGCGCTCCTATGAGTGCAGCAGCGACTGCGCCGACCTGCACTCCTACTTCAGCCGCTGCAACTCCATCCGAGTGGAGAGCGGCTGCTGGATGGCGTACGAGCGCCCCAACTACATGGGCTACCAGTACTTCCTGCGCAGGGGCGAGTATCCCGACTACCAGCGCTGGATGGGCTTCAACGACTCCATCAGGTCCTGCCGCTTCATTCCTCACGTAGGTGTCCGGTAAAAACAGCATGACATTGGCCATGAGCTGGCTTTCAGTCAGTAGAGCTGCACCAGCTTTTCACCTCTGGAACCTAAGATCTGTTGAATGGAGGCCATCTGAACTGTGTGGCCTAAGGACTTTAATTAGTGCAAGGATCTCATCCAGGTGTTGCATGTTGCATGTTCCACACCCCTGCCACCCTTTCCTGTAAAGAAGTGCCTCCTGTTCTCAGTTTGTGATGTGCTCCCACTTGCACCCTGTGGTCCATGTCTCATGACGTCAAGTCATCGCTATACATGTGTTAATTCCAGTAGAAAGAGGACTCGTCCTGCATTATGAAACAGGGAGGACGTGTTTCCTGTTTGAGACAGAAGCTGAGTACTAAGGAACAAATACACTCAGTCAAACACACCATACAGATTCCAGTTCCACGATTCAGTTCTAGATGCTGCATACCCTCTTTCTCACAAAAGAAGGAAAACTTGAGTCTTGTCCATTCAGGGGAAGGCTGGTGCACAGTGACAGAGAATGCTTGCATTGTCATGTGACAGTGCTAGCAAGAGAGGCAGAAGGGCATCACAGATGGAGAAGAGAGAGAGGATAGGCTCATGTGCCAGCTGGTAGGGTTCTTGGACATAACTAATGCAAATATTCATTCCTTTCATGTGAAAAAAAATACTAATATGTAAAAGCTTCTTCCTGTGGTCTACAGTACCAAGGCTCCTACAGGATGAGGATCTACGAGAGGGAAGGCTTCGGAGGCCAGATGATGGAGTTCATGGACGACTGTCCCAATGTCTACGACCGCTTCCGATACAATGACATCCACTCCTGCAATGTGATGGATGGATACTGGATGTTCTACGAGCAGCCCAACTACAGAGGCAGGCAGTACTTCATGAGGCCCGGAGAGTACAGGAGGTTCAGCGACTGGGGAGGCATGAGCCCCAGGATCGGCTCCTTCCGGCGCCTCATGGACTTCAACTGACCTGGGCAACACTGTGCAGTAAACCTTGTTTGCAAAATAAAGTACTCTGTTTAGAATACCAGCTCTGTCCTCCTCCTTTTGTTAGAAAACAATGTCTCCACAAGGGCTTCTTCTCAGAGGTCATGATGTTTCTACACTGAGGCCTCGAGCAAATCACAATTTAGACCCCTACTACCACTAAGAAGGTGCAAAACCTGTACTTCACAAAGAGTCTTTATTTGCATGAGGCCATCTCCTTATACACTGTTAAGCTTGGGTTCATTTGTGACTAGTTCATAGATCAGTGAGTTTATTTGGACCACTTCTAAGTCTAAAAAACTGGAGCAGCTGCCATTTCTATCCATATGTAATTGAGAATCTTGAAAGATCTTCACAGCAGAATATTGTGAAAGAGCATTGCTTCAAATAGTGTCAGAAAAAGCTGGACATTTCTAGTCCAGTTTTATATTCAGTATCAACGAAAGTGAAACAAAATGAATAAAATATTGATTGAATTATGGGTTGTGGAATAAATTAAAATTGTATTTACTACAGATGTTTAAGCATTTTTGGCACCTGCAAAATGCAGAAGAGTAGAGCTATCTATAAAAGTCATTCTTGCTCAAAATACTTCATAGAATGGAATGCAAGTATTACACATTGTTTCCCATTTAAAATAAACAGACCAGCAAACATACTATGAATATTTGCTTACTGAGCACAGAAAGAGGACTGTTTAAGCACAGAACCAGAATGAACAAACCTCATCAGGAGCAGTTGGCCCCTTGCAGCAGATTGCAGTCAGATGCTAGTGGAGGGGGGTGCTAGTGGAGACCACTGCATGTCAAGTTTGCCTCTGAAAAGTTTTTTTGCTGTCACTGGAAGTGTCAGACTTGATCCCAGTGATCATTAAGATCACCATTCATCATTTACACAGATTGTTACCTTGTATTTCCAGGACTTCAGTCATGATCTTCAAAAGGGAGTGTCCACTGTTCACCAAAAATGTTCTAAGGAATTCATGCATCTTTACGTTCGGCCACATTTAAATAAGAGATGATAACTCTATGGTAGTTAAACTTTCTCTCACAACACATTAACTGTACTTACATATCGAGGTGCATTTTGTATTTAATCCTAGATGGTTGGTTAATTACTTTTGTATTAACCTGAGGTTATGGACTGAAAGAGTAGTGTGTCACTTACCTCTGTTTGGGTTGCTTTTGCAACACTCTGCTCTAATCTTTCATTTCCTGAAGGTTGTCATTATTGGTACAGCTGTTCATGAGCAACACCTCCATCTTAGTAGTGTGGTAAACCTTAATTCAGGGAGAGAAGAAGCTTGATTCGAATAAAGATCATTTTGGGGGTAACTCAGCAGGTCAAGGAGACCAACAAACTGTCTGTAAGGACTGGGCTGTCGGACACCCTCATCCAGGGGTGTAGCCACGGGTGGGACTAATAGATCCTAGCCTTACCCAATCAGTCCAAAGTAATTTAAGTTTTTTTTTACCTTGTTTGCGTTACGCCTTTTAATGTAACGTGGCTCTCTGTATCTTTTGTGGCCAATAAGAACATTATGTAAATGTAGTGGGGCGGGGCAGGCGTAGCAGTAGCCTAATTGGCTATCGTTGTCGTCAGACACTCTTAGAGCTATCTAGCGCTAGGTTTTTGGTTTATTAGCCAACATGGCAAAACCAATGCATTTATCTACGTTTTTCAAAAAGCCCAGTGTAGATGACCAGACCAGCACCAAAACAAATAAGACACATGAGATGCTACAGGCATCTTGGGTTTTAAAGAGTACAGCCTGGCTCCCCGAATACAAGTGTGTCTGGACCGCAGGGGGCAGTGCACGCGTTTGCTTGTAGCTGCTCGATACATGCTTGACCTGTAGGAATTAAGTTCTAAAATTAAAATTTGAACAAATTACAAGTTTTGGAATGCAGGCATAACATTAAGATAGTATTGACGGATAGATGCAAGTGTGCATTTTACAGATAACTATTCAGATCGCCTCCAAATGCCCTGCATTTCAGTAAACGTCGTTAAGTGAACGAAGTTTACAGAGCTAAAATAGATCCAAAGTATGTATTTGACGCTTTTATTAGTAGACTATTCATGCAATTAAAGGTACGATGAATTGCTAAGAACTGTAATGCGACCATACCAATTCAGTTTCGTTTGTGGGAAGTAAGTCACGAATTTCCAAATTAAGTGTCTTTTAGCATCGAAAATAGAATACTACTTTTGTGGGTTTCATACAAGTTTAAAAGCATCATGAAGGATCAACAAGACATTCAGAACTTAATATTTTAATACCTTTGCATTTTTATTCTCATAGCTTCTCACTCGATATTACCCCTGAGGCGATGCATTTACTCCAACCTTTGAAATCCACACGCATGCACGTTCTTCTTTTCTATTTAAAGGCAAGGTAAACCCTGCATGGTATTTTAAATACAATATTTCAGATGGATTTTGAATCTTGCATTCTGTGTTGTGTTCATTGTGTTTTGCAAATAAATATTAACTTTACAGTAACTCGTAAGACTGCTGTACAATCTAAAAGCACGCATACGAAATAGAACTGTTACAAGCAACAAGTGAAAATGAGCTCTTGCAGCTTTTCTTCAGCTAAAGACAAAGTCCTCATATGAGAGACTTTTGCAAACTAGCTGTCATTTGAACGGGAATTTGCAGACTCTCTAGACAGTGAGGAGATTATCGCCATATTCAATTCCAAGCTCCGACGCCTGCGTCTGGTCTAGAAGGCTAAAACCTCACAACAGAGGTAGGCACTGATTGGTTTTTTGTGCGTGTCCGCTGTGGCACAGTTGTGTTCGGCAGCCTAGGTAATTGTTGCTTAACCTGTAACGGAAGCGTTCTTAAGGACCCTATGCAGACGACATGATCCGGGATAGAGTGAGGAAAACAGGGAAAAAGCAGGCGGGAGTCGGGAATGAAAACAGGGGGTGTGTCCATGGTGCGCTGGTGTTCGGGGGAGGTGTGGCCGAGGCAAACAGTCCAGAAACAAGTCCAAGGGGGAATCCAAGAGAAGGCGAAAATCCAAAACTGGGCGGTCCATCCAAGACGAACAGAATAAAAACGGGAACCGGGTTGGAACCGGCAGGAACAGGAACTGAAAAGCTTGAGGGGACCAGGCGCTTCCAGGTCCCGGACTCACCTGGTGCAGGAACCAATGCCGAGACCGGAACAGAGTGAGTGTCTGGCTTTTAAGGGGAACTGAAAAGGGATCTGGAACAGGGAGCAGGTGCGGGAGATGAGTAAAGAACAAGGAAGGGCTGGTCAGTTAGAGCCCGGGCCACCTACTTTTGCAGAGGCCCACCCTAAAAAATCAATTCCTGGCCACGGCCCTGCCCTCATCTCTAGTGAGGAATGAGCCAGAGAGCTGCAGCAGGGGTGAAGATGGGCTGGAGCGAAGAATGTGAAAATTAAATACAAGCGAATCAGCAAGAAGTGTGATATTGATACATAGATGGGTGAAAGAGGATGAGGTTAGGGTTTGAAATTTTGTTTAAAACACCATTTAATTCCATTCAAAACCCAAATCTATCCCTAAAACTATACCTAATCCTATCACTAATTCTAACACAAAAGTTCAGAAGCTATTTCCTAGAATTTTGAAAGCCCTGTAAAAAATAATCCTAACTATAACCCATTGCAAGCTACAACTCATTAAGAAAACTAAAGATTTAAATAACGAAGCATGTTACCAGACACTGGTGAACTACTAGTTAAGGAACAAGTAATGTGGTCATTTGCTCTCTTTGTAGCTCATAAGGCACTTGTAATTTAAAGAGATGTCATGCACAATTAGTTTAATTGGTGATTTGATCTTTTAAGCTTTCTCGTATTTAAAACCTGACAGAGTGCTGTAGCCAGCAGCAGAACTGTATGTTGTAAACCACAGGCTTTTCAATGGTTTACAATGCTGCAGATTGTGCTGGACAGCTGAATGTGTGGAAACAATTAGCTGAAAGCAATTATTATGATGAGTGCAGAAAAGTAAATGTTGTAAGACACCTTTAAAAGGTTTGCTGACGTGGACCAATCTGTATTTAAATAACAAATGGAACCTATTCTACTGAGATAAGTATATAAGGAGACCTGTTCCAGGACTCATACAAGCAGTTAAGGCCCTGTGATCACACTGAAACAAAAAATGGGGAAGGTAACAGCGAAGACTTTTTACTACTCTTTTTTTCTGATTCATTCTGATTTCAACGCACTTTAAAACATGCTGTTCTGAATGTCTTCATCTCACTTGCAGATCATCTTCTACGAGGACAGGAACTTCGGGGGGCGCTCCTATGAGTGCAGCAGCGACTGCGCTGACCTGCACTCCTACTTCAGCCGCTGCAACTCCATCCGAGTGGAGAGCGGCTGCTGGATGGCGTACGAGCGCCCCAACTACATGGGCTACCAGTACTTCCTGCGCAGGGGCGAGTATCCCGACTACCAGCGCTGGATGGGCTACAACGACTCCATCAGGTCCTGTCGTTTCATTCCTCATGTAAGTTGCTCTGTATTTTTATAGGAATTAAACAATCATATTAATATATTTCAGAAGTTGTAAATATAGATTTTGGCAAGAAACAGTGAATCAGTTATCTTCAGACTGGAGTTGTTGAAATGAATCAGTGTTTAATCTAAATTATATTCCAGTTCAGTCTGTATTAAGGAATGTCTTGTGTTCACAGTACCAAGGCTCCTACAGGATGAGGATCTACGAGAGAGAAGGCTTCGGAGGCCAGATGATGGAGTTCATGGACGACTGCGAGTCTGTGTACGACCGCTTCCGTTACCATGACATCCACTCCTGCAATGTGATGGAGGGATACTGGATGTTCTATGAGCAGCCCAACTACAGAGGCAGGCAGTACTTCATGAGGCCCGGAGAGTACAGGAGGTTCAGCGACTGGGGAGGCATGAGCCCCAGGATCGGCTCCTTCCGGCGCCTCATGGACTTCTGTTAAATAAGGAAATAGTGTAAAATTCCTGCATTTTGCAGATTTGTCTTAAATAAAATGAAAATGTGTTGCGAACTTGTTTTGTGTCTGCTTATGCATATGAATGAATGGTATTAAGAGAAATGAGGTGAAGATATTGCAGGGGACAATAGCATTTAACAGGGTCAATAATACATTGTTGACATTGTTAAACGTTGAAGACTAGGACCTCATATTTATTATCGGGGGGTTCAACTGTGCTATAAATGACACAGAAGGGACACAGCACTGACACTCACAAGGTTTATTTTTAACAGTGAAAGTGCTAATGGAGAACACAAAAATCAAGTGAATGGTATAGCTGGGAACTGAGGCAATTTCTGTCAAGATTAGTTGTGAATTTTGGCTACAGAGCTCAATTAGTTCAGCTGCCTTCACCGTTCCCGAAGATTGATTTTTAATTAAGAGCTCCATACTGATGAGCTGAGACACAGACAGGCAAGATTAAAACAAACAGCCTGTGTCTGAGGGGAAGACAAGCTTACTGTACTCTGCAGAGCTTGATTTTGAACATGATTACCCAGATGAAGCCCAAACCAGACAACAAGTCGTCTGGGCTCCCAGAGTCTGTTATGCAAAGGCAGCTGGTCACAGAAAAAGAAAACCCAGAACACAGATGTATTTGCTTTCCACTCTCTATAGGCTCTGCAAAAATAAATTCTCTCTTGCTCTGCGCCTGCTCCCCGTACTATCCAACATAATCGCCACGGCAGGCAGCAATCTTCCTTGACTGGAGCTCACTCTGTGTAACGATGTGTAGTTCAGGACCCTATGCAGACAGTATAATCTGGAAGTGAGTGGAGCAGGACAATGGGGAGGAGACAACGAGGAACAGGGCAGGTTGACAAACAGGGGGGCGTGACAACAGTGAACTGGCGCTCGGGGGGCGTGGCCAAGGCAAACAAGTCCAAGGGTAGTCGAGGGGGAAATCCAGGGCGAAGTCCAAGGTCCTAATCCAAGTGATCCATCTGCAATGAAAACAAGACACACTTAAAAACCACAACAGGATCCGGTACAGTGAAATAAATACATTATCAGGAGGCCAGGTGCTCTGAGCCCCGGACTCAGCTGGGTCAGGACGTCGATAGGAGGTCTATGCGCTCAAGTCATAGGGCGTAGGGTGACTTGGTGGTAGGCGGACCTCCGGGCGTCCGTCTTCCAATGCAGAGCCAGGAGTAACGAGTGTGCCCAGTTTAAGTAAGGAGGGGCAGGATTGAGGGCAGGTACATGGAATAAGCAAAATGTGAAAGAGCTGGAGCGCCCTTAAGAGGAGGGATTACGATCGTGACACCCTGCTTGTTTACAATTTTAACTTTTGTTCCACGGTTATTCAGAAGCCTTCATCCTCCTGCCTAAACAGGGGATTGGCAGTGCAGTAAAGTTTAAAATGATATATTTAACTGAAAAATACAAAGAGGAATAAAAAAAAACACACTGTTAATGTCAACACACAAGCCCCTGTTTTAACAAACAATCTTTAATAAACAAGAATTTATGCAATCTGTTATAATATATTTTAGCACTCCGCGGTTCACGTGGGCACCCTCACCACTGCCGCATCAGGTCAGCCCCTCACCGTCAGGGACTCAAACCCAGGCCTGCGGCATCACTCAACAGGGACCCAGCCTCTTGAGCCAAAGGGAGATCTCCCCTCAGCCCAGTGGCTGCGGTCCCTGCTATTCACAGGGAAGGGCAATGACGTCACCACGCTGGTAAGCCGGCTCTCACAAGCAATGGAGGCCGTATGTGTTACAATATTTTTATATTTATAATCTAATATACAACATTCATACTGAATACTACTTAAATGAACAGTAGACATCCTCTTATTATCTAAATGTGATATGAATATAGCACCTAGTGTATTCATGATTGTGGGTCAGAGTGGAATCAGATGACAGATTTAAATTTAAAAATAATAAAAAAAATTATTACTTACATTGCTTAGGACCTTCACTGTACCGTTAAGAAGCAAATATATTATAAGTATTTAGGCTTATTAAGCAATAATTACACTGCAATATTAAGATAATTTCATATTAAGCTGGTTGAAGAATCAGTCTTTTTAAAGGTTCTTCAAAATTGTGGTTCCCAGGTCATGGATGACAAAGCTAAACAGGCAGCACAGAGAACATAAGAGCACAAGACAGGTCACAAACGAGACAAAGCCATTCAGCCCATTGAGCCTGTTTGGATGCTTGTAGCTAATTGATCCGAGAATCTCTTGCAGCTGTTTCTTGGCCAGGGTACTGGCATCCAACACACGGCTGTGCAGGTTGTTCTCCACTCCTACAGCCCAGTCAGTGTTGCCAAAACATCAGGAAGCAGGAAACATTGCACACCTTTCCAAAACCCCACAACTTTGCAGGACAAACGGATGAAAATCTAATCTCTCAGAAAAGCTAATTTCTGCTTTTCTTTTCCTGACCGCATGTGAATCTGTGCTGCTCTAGACACAACCTGATGATGTGTGAGAACTCATCCCAAGTCTACTTTCTTGCATGCTCCTTACTCTCTGCCATGTTTGCAGATGATCGGATTTTAGATTCACGAAATGTAACCACAAGTAAATACAAAAATGGATTTCTGCATTACACATCTGAACCTACAAAGTTACCAAGGCTTTGCACACAAAAGTCCCTTTTTCATTAGGTTAACATAAAAATAATTAAAGCCTTTCTCATCTGTTGCAGGCACGTGTTTATTGACAAAGGCTTTGTTACGTGGATTACAATACACGTTTTGCATTAGCTGTACACTATAGTGGTGCTGGAGACAATGGGCATTTTTTTTCTTTCCTCTTCATGAAACCATCAGTTAATGACAATGGCACAGGAACTAAGCACTTGCTGACTTGCGGACATTTGTGTTTGAATGCCCCATGCACAGTCTGCAATTCACGTTTCCTATATAAAGTTGAGATTGTGTCTTCGAAAAAGACGTGGAAAAGAGAGGCAGTCTGTCAACGTCAAAATGGGAAAGGTAAAAAATTAAAAACCCTGGACTATTTTGTCTTGGATCTTTCTGTTATATAATAATACCAAAAATGTTTCTGAAATATGAAGGATTTCCATTCGCAGCCCTTCTTCTAATATTGTGGCGATTGTGCTTTTGCAGATCATCTTCTACGAGGACAGGAACTTCGGGGGGCGCTCCTATGAGTGCAGCAGCGACTGCGCCGACATGCACTCCTACTTCAGCCGCTGCAACTCCATCCGAGTGGAGAGCGGCTGCTGGATGGCGTACGAGCGCCCCAACTACATGGGCTACCAGTACTTCCTGCGCAGGGGCGAGTATCCCGACTACCAGCGCTGGATGGGCTTCAACGACTCCATTTGGTCATGCCGCATGATCCAACCAGTAAGTTAATTCTGCATGTGGTAATTATGTCATTTAGAAAATTTATTCCCAGGGTCCTAATTGCAGTTATATAGCCTGACTGTTATCTTTGTCTCTCAACAGAAGAGAAACGGTCACATAAAATGCTTTGATATTCCTTGATGACATTCAACTTTCAGTTGATTTTCAACTGTTAGGTCTTAAATATTACCCTCTGTTTTTATATTTGGACTATAATAAATGACTGCTTTCATGCCTGTTTGTTATATATTTTGAGTTAAATGTCTCACAGAACTCTTTATAAAGGGTCCACAGGCATGCCTTTAGGTTTTTTTATCATACCTGACCACGCCCCTTCTGTTTTCCAACAGTACCATGGCTCCTACAGGATGAGGATCTACGAGAGAGCAGAGTTTGGAGGCCAGATGATGGAGTTCATGGACGACTGTCCCAATGTCTACGACCGCTTCCGTTACAATGACATCTTCTCCTGCAATGTGATGGACGGGCACTGGCTCTTCTACGAGCAGCCCAACTACAGAGGCAGGATGTACTACCTGAGAGCTGGAGAGTACCGCAGGTTCAGCGACTGGGGCGCCATGAGTGCAAGAGTGGGCTCTTTCAGGCGCATCACTGATTTTGAATGTTAAACCTGAAGTGCTCTTAAAAATAAAGTCATTTGAAAATACTTTTATTGACTGTTGACTGGGGGAATTTCTGGGCATGATTAAAGAACATACAGACCTACGTCGCGCCACCTGATACAGATCCACACCTGGTTGCTATTTGACTAAGAGAATCACAGTAAATCCAGGGAGTGGTGAAAAGATCACAGAGGCTATTGCTGCCTAACCTAGCCTCTCTCTACTGCCCCCACACCGAAAAACACTTCTAGCACATGTAACAGGGCTCAGTGCTACTGAACACATCACAGAGGGGTGACATCACCCCCTTGCAAGCTAAACAGGGCAGAAGGGTCTCGCCACAGCAGGCTGGGTCCTGTGGCACAGCAGAGTGCCGCACTGTCTGGGGCGTGCTGCCATGTCTGCTCGGAGCCCACAGGCGCCCACAGTGGTGGAGTCCCGGCGGGGGCAGAGAGCAGCTGAACGCCTTTCCCTTCTCACCTTTCTAAAACCTGTCAGGCCTGGATAGGTAATACTGCCCTGGGTTAAACAGTGCTTACAAGGGAGGGACGACAAGAGCCAGGATCAATCGGCCTCAGCTGCCCTAAATCGTGACATCATTCACTCAGGTTAAAAAAAAATATGTCATCCCCTCCTCTCCCTCTCAGTCGTCTCCTGTATCCCTCCTCCACCCCCAACCTCTCCCTCTGCAGCTGCCCCTTGGTCACTCCGCGCAGAGGTTTCCCAGCCTCTGTGTCCCATGAGCCAAGCCAAATTTACTGCCACTAAAACACTCGATAAGCATTTTCGGCACACTTAATTCTCGGCAGTTGTTATTCCTAGTGAAGAAATCACGAGTGGCCACGTGTAGAGTTTATGCCCAGGACAAGGAGCACACTAATAAAGATTCACACACAAAATAAAATAAAAAACAACAACAACACCTGAGACTTTTGACAACGGCTATGATTAAAGGTTTTACTTAACTTTACATTCAGGAGTCTTTCGCCACGTCTGCAAGTGCATCTCCTGCAAAAAAACCCAAAATAAACAAGAACACCTTTTCATCACACACACAGACACCACGCCCACTGCCGTGCCTCTGGTAGCTCTGATCATTCCAGTCCTAACCTGTCCCGTCGCGTTTTTTTAAAGGACTGCGCCGAAGTGCAAAGCTCTGACCTACACAGAATGGATGTAACTGGATTTCTGTTTTCTGCTGAATAAAAACCGCGCAAGGCGTTTGTTTTAAAACTATGCAATAGACGAACTGATGCGTCTCATACAGGGCTCTCTCGTCCAGGCGTGTGAAGGTGATTTCGGAGAAGGATCCTCTTCTGAAAAGCTGGTTGATTTGGCCTGGCGATGTGTGAAAGTCGGAGAACTCTCCGCAAAGCAGGGGAATTACTGGGTGACCGGAGCACCCAGGCGACCTGCAGCTTGATGTACAGTACAGTTATTACACAGGAGCGATCCGCTCTCCTGCCCCGCGTTGGACTTTCCCTATACCTTTCCTCCTTTACCCCAGGTTTAACCCCTTTTTCTCTCTATAATACAACGGGAAAAACCCAAACATCTGCTCTTTTTCGTTTGCCCCACGCCGCAGAAACCGAACCGGGAGAGTGCGTTTACAGTACTTTTTGGTTTCCTGTCTGAGGCTGGGTGTTTCTAAACCTACACGGCCTGTAAGAAGGCGTCCTGTTTTTTAAATGGCAACAGTAGCAGTAAACGATCATATGAGCGCTTCTACAATTAAGGTACTGAATGCATCGGCAGTGCGAGGGTCTTAAATGCTTTACCGTGTTTCGAGGATAGGACAGCAGCACAGTTGCACTGAAATGGTTGTACACCGTCACTAGACCGGGGCATTGGGACCCACACAGACCACAGGGTTAGCGCCCCCTGCTGGCCCTAATAACACCTCTTCCAGCAGCAACCTTAGTTTTTCACAGGAGTCTACCATGCAGGTTAGTGGCCAGGCTCACACCTGCTGAGCTTCAGCAGGTTGCTAGTTGTGAGCTGCAGGGTGATACACTGCTGGCTATAAATAGATATACTGACTTGGTACAGTATGTTCTCCCCTGCTTGTGTGGGTTTCCTCCCACAGCCCAAAGACATGATTGTACTGTAGGTTAATTGGCTTCTGTAAGTCGGCCCTGGTGTCAGTGTGCTGGTGTGTGCCCTGCCTTGTGGCACTGCTGGCGGGTTTAGTCTGTGGCTCCCCTTCGACTCTGAATTGGATAAAGCAGTTAAAAGTGGGTCAAACACACCTGACACACTTGGCAAAGTCTTTTGTCTTCCTATGAAAGTATAATCAGGTGTGAGTGGTGAGTGGTGAATTTGGCCCACAGTGTATTATTATTGCTTGATTTGCAGAAATCTGTGAATGAGATTTTGTAATAAAAGAGATCAAAAAACATTTTTGGGACCTCACCAATTCCAACATTCATTAATTTCAACCATAACTTAGTGCATGATGCATCACACACTTCAATGTACTGGTCCAGGTTCACTCCTGATTGTACTGTTTATTATAGTCACAGTAGTTATTATTATTGGTCATATTTTGCAATCTCCTGCTGGTATATATAGTAACAATTACCGTGTACTAACTATAAGTTAAAGGCACCTGCTAAATGAATGAGGTACTATTACCAAAAATAGCTGTTCTAATTCATTTGGCTTTGTATTGGTAATGAAGTGAGGATTTAGGTGACAATGCCCCCCTCATGCTGAGACCTTGTGTACAGCACCCAGTCCAGAAGTGTGTAGAAAACACAGAGTGAAAGAGAAGAAAGGATTGAATGGGGGATCTATAGATGGTGGGCTTTAGTAAACAGTGAAAAGGACCCCACAGCTCTGAAGTTCCTGACATATTTTCAACAGTTTTGTCTTGGTCAGTGTTTGACTGAGATTTCTGCTGAAATGCAGTATGTGTCTTTTTGTACCTACAGTACTGTATGTGCGACAGTAGAGTTTTTTTCCCCCTATGAATACTGATGAATATGTAGAAACTGAGGTAGAACAACAAGGTCAATGTTGGACACATGAAGGGCCAGCTAATCATAATCCTGTGTTTTTAACCCCGCCACTGACACAGAGAAGTGGTTCTTTAAAATCAGGCGTTTGCATGACAAAGCCCTGCGCGTGGCCATCACACAGCTGGTTCTATAAAAGCCCAGAGATGGAGGCGCTGAGCAGTAAGCAGAGACCTGGCAGAGCTGCACCATGGGGAAGGTAAACGCAGAGATCCACCGTAGGCTTCACAAACTCAGGGCATACTTCTCTTTTTCAAGCCCCCGTTGCTTTATTTAGGTTTCAGCAAAGGTTTGCACTGTAAAGTACATTTCTGACTAACGCCGTCAGTAGTTACAGAATGACTGACAAAATAATTGCACTTGCTCATTTCAGATCATCTTCTACGAGGACAGGAACTTCGGGGGGCGCTCCTATGAGTGCAGCAGCGACTGCGCCGACCTGCACTCCTACTTCAGCCGCTGCAACTCCATGAGAGTGGAGAGCGGCTGCTGGATGGTGTACGAGCGCCCCAACTACATGGGCTACCAGTACTTCCTGCGCAGGGGCGAGTATCCCGACTACCAGCGCTGGATGGGCTACAATGACTGCATCAGGTCCTGTCGCTTCATTCCTCATGTAAGTTCTTTTTCCTTCTTGTCTCTAGAAGGGAACTGCTTTCCCAGTGGACACTGTGCTTTCTGCGCACGTGGAACTCTGTGAGCTCTTTGTGTTGTAAGTGGGAGATCCAGTGGTGCTGTGAACTGCCTGAATGCTTTGATTTGCCCGATTGCTTCATATTGTGCCGAATCTGAAATGGGAGTTCTGCAGTCCACTAGGTATGTTCATCAGTGCTGCAGAAGGGTTAGAATTACAGCCTTGTTGCAATCATTCCTTTAGCCTGTCTAGGGCTAAACTGAGGGCAAAACCCATAGAGCAAATTATATTGAACAGTGCTCTTAAAGAAGATAAAAGTTGTGGATTGATGTTCTCCTGGTGTGTATGACCACAGACTCACTAATAGCAGAAACTGTGGATCACTGCATCACATGAACAGATGCAAAGTCAGAGAAAAAGACAGATGAAGAAATACAATGAGGGACAGAACACAAAAGCATTTAAAAAAAGCACTGAAAAAGACCCAGTTTATTATGTCAATATTAGCAAATAAATTTCACTACATGTAGAATAAAACCATGAGCTTGTCTAGAAGAAGCGACCCAGTCATGTTATTGAAGCTGGTACACTGGCTCCTTTCAAGAAATGGCTGGATAAGATCTTTGAGCAACCAAACAGATGTTCCAGATCCAGATGTTCCAGGGCTGCATAGCGTCATCTCTTCTGCAACCTGTCTTCTGTTCTTCTGAGTTCAATTTGTGAACTGAGACGATCCTGTGCTACGTATTCACATTTCATAGAGCTAAGCAAACCAAGCAAACAGAAGCAGCTCTTGTCTGCACCTATGAAATAAGTATAGCACATTGGTTGCTGAAAATAATTTCATGTTACCGTGCTCATTTCATTCTGAATGCCTGATGCATGCTTCTAATTCATGCAAATTTTGCCTGAATGAAAATCCGATTTACCTGTAATTTATTTCTAACTGCTTACAGTACCAAGGCTCCTACAGGATGAGGATCTACGAGAGGGAAGGCTTCGGAGGCCAGATGATGGAGTTCATGGACGACTGTCCCAATGTCTACGACCGCTTCCGTTACAATGACATCCACTCCTGCAATGTGATGGAGGGATACTGGCTCTTCTACGAGCAGCCCAACTACAGAGGCAGGCAGTACTTCATGAGGCCCGGAGAGTACAGGAGGTTCAGCGACTGGGGAGGCATGAACCCCAGGATCGGCTCCTTCCGGCGCATCACTGACTTCAACTAGCACGGGAACCTTACTGTAACAGACTTTTTAATAAACCACGTAAAATCTAAAACACTGAATTGTTTCCTTTGCTTCTTTAAAATAAAAAACATGAACTATTCCAATCATTCCAAAAATTACCTACCTTGCTGTTCCCTCATTTCACACGACTGAAGCAGCTGTAGGTTGCAACCCTCCAGCCACAGGTGCAGATCCTTAGCCACAGTGTGTCACGTGCGTAAACACCTCCTCTTAAGGACACTCCAGCCCTTCCTTGTTTACCACTCATCTCCCGCCCTGCTCCCTGTTTTCAGTTCTCCTTAAAAGCCAGGCGCTCACTTTATTCCGGGCTCTGCTCTGGTTTTCGTAGCAGGCGAGTCCGGGACCTGGAAGCGCCCGGTCCCGGTTCCCGTTTTTAAATCTTGTTTGTCTTGGATGGACTGCCCAGTTTTGGACTTTTCTTCAGGATTGTTTGCCTCGGCCACACCCCCCCGTACACCAGCACACCATGGACATGCCCCCTGTTTCCATTCCCGACTCCCGCAGGCCTTTTTCCCCGTGTTTTCTCACTTTACCCTGGATTGTGTCGTCCGCATAGGGTACGGAAAGAACTCTTCCGTTACACAGTGCCACCGCTCTGCCCCTTTATGTGGTGTGAAGTCAGCACTAGAGCTGACTTGTGACTGCTGGGCGGCTCTTACCCACAGACCTCAACCCTACACATTGTTTGTGGTGTTGTGCACCATCATAGATCTGCTGAACAATTAAATAATCATTTTATGTGATAGCATAATGTACAAAACTGACCAGAAAAGAGTTGATTTGAGCTTTATGTGTATGTAAAAAGTATTTTTAATAGCTGTAAAATTTTGTGACACCTTTAAAAGGGCATGGAACTAAAGAAATGTGCTTAATAGTGTACATCTCATTTTTCCATTTTGCTGTAAATCAATTTACCCTCGTGAATCAGATATAAGGAAAACAGACAGGCACCTGTAGTGGACTCATGGGACACACCAAAACATGACAGGATAATGAAGAAATCTTTGTTGAATAAAAGTTTTTTCCATGCTACAACTAAGGCACATTGCAGTGATTTAAAAGTCTCTGATCACGTCTGAAATGCCAAAATACTGCTCAGTCATATTGTGCCTGACAACCAGAAGCAGCATGAATGTGCCTCCTTGTGTTTCCAGCGCTCTGCCCTGTGGAGACAGGTTTGAGTTACGTGGTTTCGCTTTTTCAAGTGTAGAGCTACTATGACAGAACTATATGTAAATTATGTGAGGTTTCTGTTAGTTTACTTGTGTGACCAGTATTTTCATCTTTTGCTCACAATAATGAGACACCAGTGCAGAGAGGTGTCTAGTTATTAGCTCATTTCAAGTAGCTTTGCCAATTTTATAACAATTTAAGAACAGCTTCCAATGAGAGGAGACCATGTAGATAATTTGATAATTAGTAGATAATTGGTTCAAGGATTTCATTCAGCCATTTCTTAAAAGACGCCAGGCTATCAGCTTTGATAGCTTTGATAGCCTGCCTGAGCAGCTTGTTGTGGAACTACCCCACCCTTTGTGTTAAGATGTGCCTTCTGTTCCCAGTTTTCAATGCTCTTTCACAATAACTTCATACATTTCCACCAGTACGTACTGTATGCTGTGCATGGTGGCAGAGTGGCATGGTGGTTAACATTTCCCCCTCACACCCCCAGGGCTCTGAGTTAGATTCTGAACTGGAGGGCCTGTCTATGTGTAGTTCACATTTTTTTCATGGGGCTCATGTGAATTTCTACTGGAAGGTCTGGTTTCCTCCCACCTTAAAGGATTCTAAAGGGGTTTCTTACTTGTGCAGATTGTTTCCAGAGATAAGAGTTCAACTTGCTGAATATTGTGTTGTTTATTAGCTAGCTAGTGCAAGAAGGAGACCCTTTCAATTACAGATGTCTTATGTGGAGGAGGGAATGGAAAATAAATTTGGTACATTGCATTGCCCACAGTGCACTTGATATAAACACATAGTGTATCTTAGCTCTTATATAGTAACACCTACTGTATATCATGAATTTATTTTCTGTGTGGTCTATCTGTGTGTTTCTGATGTTTAGCTCTGGTGCACCAGGACACAGGCCACTATAGACACGGACAATAGACAAGCGACTTCTGCAGACACGCCCAGATGTACACTTTCTATCCTCTGTGCATGCCACTGACCTCTCGCTTCATTTCTGCCTATACAAACTTGCTGAGTTTCAAGCCGAAGCCCCCGCCGGGATTAACATTCTGCATTGTGGTGTTATCTGTCTATACCATGAGGGATAAAGCATGTGTGCTGCTGACTGGAAAAAGCATTGAGTCTGACAAACAATAGTTACTGCACTGTAAAGCTTTTGGTATGTATATAAAGACCCGCTCTGGGGTTTGATGGCACCTGAGCAGTCTACTCCAGCCATGGCTAAGGTACAGTGCCGTTAAAATGTTGATAATGGCTAATTACATGACTCATACTATTTCTTCTACTTGCAGTAGTTATCACTGCATGTATTTCTGCATGTAATAATGTAGTTCTATGTATTATTGTAGTTCTAGGAATTGCCAAAGGGGCTAGATGGCCCCATTCTTGTTTGTAACTGTTCTCGTGTTCTAGTGTAAACAAGAAATATTGTTTTCCCTTTCTGCAGATCATCTTCTACGAGGACAGGAACTTCGGGGGGCGCAACTATGAGTGCAGCAGCGACTGCGCTGACCTGAACTCCTACTTCAGCCGCTGCAACTCCATCCGAGTGGAGAGCGGCTGCTGGGTTCTGTACGAGCGCCCCAACTACATGGGCTACCAGTACGTCCTGAACAGAGGAGAGTACCCCGACTACCAGCGCTGGATGGGCTTTAATGACTGCATCAGGTCCTGCCGTGTCTTCCCACACGTAAGTTAAAAATAAGTGCATGCTTTTGCATTTGAAACACTAAGAAATAGAATGTGCAAAATGCAAGAAATTAATTGCAACACACCACACTCTAAGTAAACATGTAAGTATACCAAATCTAAGTATACAACAGGTTGTTCTGCTTTCACTTTAGTATGCTTTATTAAAAATTGTAATAAACAGTAAATGTTTTCTTAAAATAATGTGCTTTTAACACTTGAAATACAGCTAAAATAATTATACAATTTACATTTAGTTCATTTAGCCTGCAAAAAAGGATGAAAAAGCATTTTATAGATTTACATAATGCTGCAGAATGTATGAAGTTATTGTTGGTGCTACTCTTTCACCAAGAAAAATGCTTATATAAAACATAAGGAAACTTTTGCTTCTGTAAATTAACTGTCATCAGTTAATTCATCAGGACTCTTTGTAAACACTTTCATGTAAAAAAAAATGGAACATAGAAAATATAATGATTACAAAGCCAATTTCTGTGTATAGGAGGTGTATAGGAGAAGTAAAATCAGAATGATTTTAGAAATTCTTTTAGAAAAGTCTGAAATGTAACAGTCTCTTTGTGTAGGAAATTTTATTTATTTTTTAATTATTAAATATTTTTAATATAAATCACTCTCACATTCCAAACCCAATAGCCGGCAATCTGTGGGTGGTTTCAGAACTTAAAACTAGATGACTATTTCTTGGAGGTTTTTGAGCTGTTCAAATCAAATTCTTTGAATAAACTTTATCGGAAAACCTGCTCATATAAAACAAAATAAAAAAGTAAACCTAATATCTAATATTCCATGCATTGTCATCATCACATCATCATTTCACTTTCAACAGCTGCTTAGACGGTTCAGGTCCATGCATTTTGTTTTTATTCTGCAATGGGTGCCTTACACCTTTTTTTCTCCTCTGGTTTGCCAACACAGTACAGTGGCTCCTACAGGATGAGGATCTATGAGAGGAGTGACTTTGGGGGTCAGATGATGGAGTTCACCGACGACTGCGAGTCGGTCCACGACCGCTTCCGTTTCCGTGACATCCACTCCTGCAATGTGATGGACGGCTACTGGACCTTCTACGAGCATCCCAACTACAGAGGCAGGCAGTACTTCATGAGGCCCGGAGAGTACAGGAAGTTCAGCGACTGGGGCGCCAGCTGTGCTACTATTGGCTCATTCAGGAGAGTGATGGACTTTTAAAGTTCTGATCTTCCTTATCCTACTGCAATCTGAAACTACAATAAACAATTGAAATACCTCATGCAGTTCGGACCTGTCTTTTAGTGTATTGGTGTATCAATACTCAACTGATAACGCTTTTTACAGAGAAATTGGATATCTTTATTTTCTCTTGAGTTAGCGCTTGAAGCTTGGATGGGGTGACAGAGTTCTATTGGAAGAAAAAAAACATCATTGCTGTGCCAATAAATGTCAGATGATAATCTCTTTTAGTGTAGGAATACAAACAACCCAGATCATAACTAATCCAGGTGTAGACACTTGAGGGCTTGTGATGTGAAAAGAGTGGGCTGGCTCCACAATGCATGTTTTGGAGGAAGGTACACACAAGTCCTCACCTCCCCATTGCCAGGATGAGAGTCTTAGTGATGACCTGAACTGAGTGATAGCTCGTGAACCAACTTGAGCTTTTAGAAAGAAAACCAAGGGAGGTCATAAAGAGACAATTTTATGGGAGATGCCCAATAGGTTACCAATGCTGTTGTTTTGTTTTCTAACTGTGATTTCAAATCTCCGTCATTGGAACACAAGTGGTGAACACAGGGTAACCACAGCTGGTGATAATGTGCCAAATCAGAGTCTTACAGGCACCCTCATAAAGTCAGAGGTGACGTATGGTCAGCAATCCCAGCATTCACCAGTCAGTTCTGCTCCTGCAGATTGGCCTGTTTCTCACATCCATTCACACCTTCTTGATTTTATGAACTTGGATTGGAATCTGGTTTTCGAGCATGGCCCTCTCCTTTGTAACTGTGATTACGTCATCTAGAACTTTCAGCTCAAGTTCCATGCCAGACATAAAAAGCTCTGTCTACGGTGTTGTGAATACACTAGGCACGAGAAATCCAACATGCAGGGTCTTTGAATTATATTACAAATCAAAACTATTAAAGAAAGGAGAGACTCTCTCCCGCTGGACTGAACCTGTCTTTACCTAATATTAATTTCTCTTCAGTCCAGTGAAGTGTGCAGATCTGTGATAGAATAGCTCATGAGGCTCATGTCCTAGTTGCATACTTCACAGTGGTCACATGGCATCAACAGAAACAAAACTGCTTCTTCCATTTTTCCCATAGACTTTTTTCAAGGGGTTCCCCTGGGATCTATGTGGGGTCCAAAGCTGCATACTCTCTGGCATATTGTCTTTTTATATGAGAGAACTTTTGTTTTTAGAAAAAAAATAATTGCTTAATTAACCTATTTTAGATTTTTACAATGCTAAATAATACATGAATCATTTCATATATATATAGTATTTTCAATAGTGTTTCTTGTTATGCAAATATGTCATGGTGAACCACCTTATGATAGAATAACAAATTCATACTTAGTCTTTTCTACTGTCTGAAATACTGCTTTTTACATATAATTTAAATTTGGTCTTGCATTAAGTAATTTAGAACAAAAGTATATGCCACAGCATAACCAGGGAAACTGAGAATCCACATTTTTAAGAGCACGAACACGAACTGTAAAAGGCTTGTACCAATTTTGCTCAACTTGTTGATGGCAAGTTAACTAAATTCCAGCCCTGATGCTCTCCCACTGTGTGGACTGGAGCTCACATTTGTGCTTTTAAGTATCAGGTGTATGAGAACAAGACGTATGAATCGGTCAATTACAAATTTTGGTTGTTCTGTCGGGTATAACTAGGGATTAACCTTAAGCAGTATAATTATAATCACTTGCATTTGTGTAGTGCTATTCGTCCTGAAAGATCCCAATGCCTATTAATGCCTCCAGTCTTTTGAAAACAGTGCCATGGGAACTACTTTAATGTCCAAGAAGGTTTATGGTCTCATTCAGAGCATAGCATCTCTTGCGGCACAATGTTCTGGTCCAGAGGGAAGAGAGTCACCAACGCAGAATGAAATGGACTCATTCAAGCATTTTCTTTCTACTTTGATTCTTGTGCTGATCGGGTGAATTTACTTGATATATTTTATGGTGCTTATCTTAAATGTGTTTTTCCTTCATTGCAAAGTAGTGCAAATCAGTCGGAGTAATTGCAGCACAATTCAGCTGGATCTGAGCAGAGCTCCCCAGACCTCTTTAACTGGCCTCGGCACTAACCCGGATTGACATCCTTCTGTCTGTCCTTCAGACAGCAAGGCCGTCTCCCAGGCTTGTTTGAAATCTCCCGGTAGAAGAGGCATCTTCCCGAAACTCCTGTCCAATTCCATTCATTCAGGCCCTCAGGTGTGCCTCTTAGCCTTTTGTTTGGAGAAGGCTACCGCTTAATCTCCAGTGCTAATAGGGACAACGACTTCCTTGAGCTGAATGTTGGTGAATGCTTAAAATACCTGGTGAGATAAGTTTGGCTTAACCCACTTGGTTAATGGATGGCTTCCTGGCCACAGGACGAAGAGGCTTGAGCCCCTCTCAGTCCGAGTGACCAAGGGGCAGCTGCAAGGTGGAGATGGGGCGGAGGAGGGATACAGCAGACGAATGTGAGGGCAGGCGTTTGAGATCAGTTTATCAAGCTAGTCTGATGATGATGGTGACTAGGTGCAGCTGTGTGAGAACGACTTGCTATTGTTATCCATCCCAAACGTCCATTTACAGTACATCCCACAGTCTGTTTTGACCCGTGATCCGGTATTGTGATCGCAGAGCTGTGGTAATGTTGAACAAAAGGAGTGGAAAACAAATCTCAACTTCTCTTCTGACTGACATGCTTTCCATCCCTCTGATAGTCACCGTGGTTCTTCCTGAAAAGAAGGGACCGCAGTGACTATCACCGCTGGCTGGGTGTCAGTCTCTGCTCTGCTGTCTTCTCTGAGCATTCCTATTCGTGAACATTCCCTCTTGAGGGAAGTCAAAACCAACCACCGCTACTTTTCAAAACCTACATAATAAGAGGCAGTGCATGAAGGATTTAGTGACCTCCTGGGAGAGCTCCCCATCTGGACACATAAGACTGGTCCAGAGCGGCTCAGCGTTTATGTTTTTTTAGATTTCATTGCACAATCTGCTTTCCCCATGGGGAGAAAAAACAACAGCTAGGCAATGAGAATGGGAAATGGAAAGGGAGACCAATGCAGGCTTTCTTTGGAGCTCTGTATATGCATGTGTTTGGACTGCAGGTGAGCTGAACACTGAATTCTCACACTTTCTGTGATACAACAGGTTAAATGTAAAAGAGATGATCTATGGCATTCAGTTTCTATTGTGCTGAGGATGCCTGTAAACTATACTAGTCTTTTCCTTTGCTCCTGTATGTTGAAACCCCAAAACACTAATTATATCTGCTGTTTTGCAACAGCAAATCCATATTTCAGAACCAATATTGTTGTGTTCCAACAAAAAGGTAAACATGTGCTTCTGCCCTGACCGACGCCTCTGTGCAAATTTGAATAACAATGCAGTTGTTTGTCAGGAGTTGTTATAAAAAGCTCTGAAACCTTAAGGCCAATGCATGTGGGCACTCACCAACTCTCACCATGGGAAAGGCAGGGCCTCTTTTAAATTAACTTCAGTTCATATTGGGTTCAGTTTTGTCCAGGATTGTTTAACCAGAAGTAGTTTCACTTTTTCCCTTCCTTTCGAGCTCATAGCCTGGATGCTAATGTATCGCTGTTTGTTATCGCCCGACAGGTCATCTTCTACGAGGACAGGAACTTCGGGGGGCGCTCCTATGAGTGCAGCAGCGACTGCGCCGACCTGCACTCCTACTTCAGCCGCTGCAACTCCATCCGAGTGGAGAGCGGCTGCTGGATGGTGTACGAGCGCCCCAACTACATGGGCTACCAGTACTTCCTGCGCAGGGGCGAGTATCCCGACTACCAGCGCTGGATGGGCTACAACAGTTGCATCAGGTCCTGCCGCATGGTGCCAATGGTGAGTTGGGACTTGTGTGTCGCTGTCACTCCAGTGCTCTTGATCTGAAGCACAGCTGGTGGTGTGCAGGCGCTTGTGCGTTACCTGAAATAAGCACATCCAGTTATTTTCTCATCTAGAGCACACTAGGTGGTTTGTGGGGATGACGTTGCTCAAGGGCGCAGATACAGTGTCCCACCTGGGATCAGAACCCATGACCTTCTGCTGGGGAATCTGGAATCCAGACCATTATACCACAGCCCTTGCTAAATAATACAGCATCCCTAACGTAGACCAAATATAATTATTTTTACTGCAAAGATTCTGTGAAGGGATACATGATGCACTCTGAAACTAAAAATTATTTTCTGATTCTGAATCTGACTTTTTGGTGTCTGTTAAAGTATGGAAAGCAGAAAATTCTAATTTGCATTTTGATTAATGGTGGTTAAACATTTAACAGAGAGCTTTTAAATGTTTTCATTTGATACATTTTTAGTGTTAAATTGGCTCTGTCTTTTCAAATTCACATTCATGTTCAAAGAGCCTTATCTTCTTTATTTCCTTTATCTGCTGGACTGATGAAATACTGTGATGCCAAAGCAATAACAATTGACATTTTTAAAAAAGAATAACAATATTAATATAAGATATGAACAATAAAGATATATATATATTATTAGATATTTCCATAATAAAAATACATTATTATTTCCCTCCTTAGGCTCTGATAGGAGATTATATACTCGGGTGCAAGTTTATTCCCTTTGCTCTCCCAGTAGGATTGGAGCTATTATGACTATGGCATTTGTGGAAATTCTGGGATTAGATTTATTATTTCAGGGAAGAATGTTAGTCTAATTCCAGAGTATTTTTTGCAGCGTAACATAAAGTGCATCTCTGTCTCTTTGCTTCTCCCTGCTGTCAGTGGGAGCACAGGATGTCCACTCAGGACAGTCAGGTCTGTCTGTGGCCAGTGTCTATGGTCAAGCTGTGGTCACTGAGCCTGTCCACTCAGGACAGTCAGGTCT